CTGCCTCCTAAAAACCCACCTTATGACAGCCTGGCTTCCTGTTAGTAAGAATATTTGGATTGTAAGTAACAAACACAACATGAACCAGCAAAGCAAACAAGAGGCTTTATTAGGATATCTGGATTATCCCAACAATTGAAGCATGGAAAGGGCAGAGTAAATCTGGACATCAAGACAAGGAGAAGCAGGTATCAGGCCTTTTCTGGACCTTGCTTCCACCATAGCTTCATCTTCTCTACTGCAGACCACATTTCTCCATGGAACAGAAAACAGCCAACATTAAATATTATAACTCCAGCAACTAGAGACAAGAGTCACGCTTTCCAGAAGCCTTCTAATGGAAAAGATAAAACATACAATGATTATATTGTCACAGTGAGAAATACATGGATAGGTTCATAACCACATGCATCAAATATTGGGTAAGCATTAACAAAGAACCACAGCATTTAGTTGCAATAGATTTGAAAAAAAAAATCCACCCCCAAAAAAACAAAGATCAGAGAGTACAGAAACCTCTAGGAACTGCCAATAGTTCAAGGAAACCAGAAAATATTGCATAGGAGAAAAAAATTATGTTGAAAAATAATTTTTAAAAAATACTGGCATGGGTTTGTATAAAAGTCCTGGTATAATTCAATGAAGAGTCCACAGTGGATCACAATATTTAAACATGGAAATGTGTTACCAAATTTGCATTAAAATGACCACTACATGTAAGAAGTGAAGAAAATGAATAAAAAAGAATGGAAGCAAGGTGCAGAGAGTGTGCCTGAAGCTGCAAGGGCCCTGGATAATTAATGAGCACTCAGAACAGTATTCTCAGGTGCTAAGCATCTGAAAGCTTTCTGGTACCCTAAGCAAATAAGTAGACAGGCAGGCCCACTGAGATTGACAACCTGAATGCGTACTGCCACACAAACAACCAAATGACTGAGGAAGTCTCAAGGGTAGATCCCAAAGGCCTAGAGGTCTATACTCTGTTGTTTATAATAAAGGCTTTGCTAGATAAATTATACATGGTATTCATCTCAGGTTTCTACAGGTAACATTCTTCAAATCAACATCAGGAACCTATGGGGGGATCCACAGATAACTGTGGCAGAGTCCACCCCAAGAAAAAAAAAAAGCCAAACAGAGGACATACCTAGGATAGGTTTCAAAATACACAAACTGGACCTCCAAAGAGCCCCGTTCCTTAGCAAAAAGAGTACAGTATAAATCATCTTTTGTAGAACTGCATACAATTTGAGATCTGTGGAAGAAACTGGTGGCCAAATAGGATAACAAGGAATGCTGTCCCATATTAAGTATTCTCCCTCAGTATTGCTTAATATGCTCCATGAAATCACAAGTAAAATTAGTTTAACATCATTATTATTTTGTCCAAGGGACAAAACCCAGGAGTACTTTATCAATAAGCTATATCCCTAGATTCCTAGTGCTTTCTGAGACAGGGTCTAGCAAAGTTTCTGAGGCTGGTCTCAAATTTTCAATTTTCCTGCTGCATCCTCCCAAGTAGTTGAATTATAGGCATGTACAATCATGCCCAGCAAAATTTCCTTTTTAAAAATACCTTTGTTTTATTTATTTATTTTTATGTGTTGCTGATGATCAAACCCAATGTCTCACATGTGCTAGATAAGAACTCTGTCACTGAGCCACAATCCCAACCCCAAAACTTCCTTCATGAAGTGGGATTTATGATAGGAAATCAATGAGGGAAGTGTAGAAAGATGTTTTTTGTAGTTAAGGCATTTAAAACATACACTAAAAATATCTAATTCCAGAATCAGAGCTCCCCCCTAGGGACGTGGCAGAACCAGAAAGTACCAAAGAGGCTTCACAAAGCAACTGGGTGCACACCATGTCCTCTGTGGACTAGGTCTCTGAGTCAGCACTGAACCTCCCTGTGACTAGAGCCTGACTCTCAAAAAGCTGAGGGTTGTTCTCTTCTTGGACAATCAATCAGCAGGCTAGTGCTGAAGTTCCACTACCCATTGAAGACAGTATTAGGTTTCACTGCTTAATAGTTAGTGGAATAACCTAAAAGTGGAGTAAGCAAATTTGGAAAAGATTGCTCACTCAGTACTAGACCTAATGAACCAATTTGTATGACTAGGAAAGAGACACCATGAGGGATAAAATGGAAAAGTGGAAAAATCACAAAGCCGAACATCATTCTGTTATTGTTTGTTCATTTACAAAGGTTTGTTTCCTTTACCGGGCAAAATAACTTTCAAGCATTAGAGAAAATAGGCACACCATAAACTGGAGGAAGAATAATGAATCAGGAAATTAGATGTTTAAAAATTACTATGAGGGGCTGGGGTTGTGGTTCAGCGTTAGAGCGCTCGACTCGCATGCGCAAGGCCCTGGGTTCAATCCTCAGCACCACATACAAATAATAAATTAATTAATTAATTAAAAGTTAAATAAAAATTGTTTAAAAAAATTTACTATGAGCCAGGCATAATGGTGCCTGCCTGTAATCCTAGTGGCTCAGGAGGCAGAGGCAAGAGGATTGCAAGTTCAAGGCCAGTCTCAGCAACTTAGTGAAGCCCTGTCTCTAAATAAAAAATAAAAAGGGCTAGAAATGTGGCTCAGTGGTAAAGCACCCTTGGATACAATCCCTGGGACACACCCCCCAAAAAAAAATCACTATGAGAGGGGCTGAGGGTATAGCTGAATGGGAGAGCACCTGCCTGGTGTGCCCTAGGTTCAATCCCTAGCACCACAAAAAAATTACTATGAAAAAAGAGTGGGGACAATTTGGACATTGAAATTCTGTTATATTGGCTTAGAAATTTAATCACATTTATCTTATGTCTTAACTTCCCAACCATGTTGCAAAATTAATTAAAGAAAGAATATGATTAGAATAGAAATTACATAAACCATACTAATAAGACAATTTTGGGTGCTGGGGCTGTGGTTTAGTGGTAAGCTCGCTTGCCTAGCATTATAAGAAACTGGGTTTGATTCTCAGACCACATATATACAAATAAACTAAATATCCATTGAAGACTAAAATTTAAAAAATTTTAAAAACAAGCGGGGGCTGGGGTTGTAGCTCAGTGGTAGAACACTTGCCTCACACATGTGAGGCACTGGGTTCGAGCCTCAGCACCTCATAAAAAAAAAACAAAATAAATACATCTTTTTTTTTTTAGTTTTTGGTGGACACAACATCTTTGTTTTTGTATGTTGTGCTGAGGATCGAACCCAGGCCACACGCATGCCAGGCGTGCACGCTACCACTTGAGCCACATCCCCAGCCCAAAATAAATACATTTTTAAAAAGCAATTTCTGTGTAAGAAAAATCTCAATTTTCTGAAGTTTGAAATCAAGCTCAAAAGCTTGATATTAGACATTTCTGAACATTACAGAGAGAATGAACTATAAAATTTTATTTTAGCTCAGGGATGTTTCCTACATTTTAACGGAAATGAAATTTAAAATAGTAATTTCTCCCAGGAGTCATGGAGCTATTGAAAGAAGGTGAAACACAAATATGTCAAATGAAGAAATTACAGAAATCTTGTTTCCTAGTACTTGTCCAGTAGTCACAGAAATGTTCAGGAAGGCAAAAGCCGCTTCCCTGAATATTCACAGAGTATTTCACCACAAAATTCATTGTATTTTACTTAAGAGTGAATTGTCACTCTTAGATAATTGGTTTCCACAACTAATTTTTTTTAACAACACCCAGAACAACAGCAACACAGAGCAGCTATATTTCATCACAGCAGTTCGGAGGCAAGCTGTGCCTGGGTCTCACAGCCTGGGAACACAGGCAGGAGGAACAGCCTCAGGCCTTATGTCCCTCAGGAGTCTGCAGCAGAGGGCTGCAGGTCACCACTCTCATCCCTCAGGAGTCTGCAGTGGAGGACTGCAGCTCACCACCCCTTCTTCAGTCAGTATCTTGTATCACTGTGCTACTCTTGGTTCCTGCCTCTGCATATACAAGATTTTATATAAAATGTTTCTCAGGCTCTGAGGGCACTGGAAATGTTAACATTACTGAAGAAGAAGGTCAATATTAACAACCAATCTCTGTAGATGTCAACAAACAATAAGAAAAAAGAAATGAGTTATTATTGCCTAATCTATTGATTCTGGCAAAAAGCCATGTTAAATCAATTACCCTTTTCACAGTATTAAGACAGAAAAGCCAGTGACATGTAGTGTCTTGACACATCAGAGGGACCATAAGCTACATATGCTTCACGCTTTCTGCAACAGCTACCTGCAATGCCCAAATACAAAGCATTATGTGACAGAGGACAATAAGCCATAAATACAAGAAATCTCCTATTCAGATGTTTCAATGATTCATTTATTCACATATTTTTAAAACTTCCTACTTTGAAGGAAACATCTGTCAGCCACTTAGACTGCTGGTACCCACATCTATAATTGTGAGGTTTCCATGACAGCATTACTTCAAGGGACACACATTTCCAAGGTAATTCTTAGGCTTATCTACAATATGAATTCTCTAAAGTACAACATCCTGGGGGTACATGTCCCATAGATAGTGATTTCATAGAAGTTCATTCCTAACAGCATATTCTTATTTACAACAAGCTCTTGTTTCCTGAAAAAGTATTGCCTCACTTGCTGCATTCTGGGAATTATCCCTCATCTCCTGTGGTAATATTTAATAGCTGATGAGATTTGACCTCTGGAAGGCTTTCTGATATTCATGGGATTTCCCTTGCTGGAACTTTCCACTGCATAAGACTTGACCATGGTTGGGAAGGATATGTCACTCACTGTGTTCGTAGTATCATTCTGCTCCATGAAGGCTGGTGTCCAAGTATTCTCGAATGCTACCTGCTGAGTGCTCTACCTATATAGTTTCATTTATAGAGTTCTGATCCTAAGGAATACTCTGATGCAAAACGTGATGCAAATATTACCTGAAAAATTACCATAACTGCATTTTCTGAAGTAGAACAAAGTGAGATCTGTCAAAACGTCCCATCAAGGGCACACCTAGGCCATCCTTATTGTGTGAGTTCTCTGATGATTAATGAGCTGGGACTTCTGTGGGAAGGCTTTCCCACACTCATTGCATTGGTAAGGCTTCTCTCCTGTGTGGATTCGCTGATGATTAACAAGCTGTGACTTCTGAGAGAAGGCTTTCCTACATTCACCACATCCATAGGGCTTCTCGCCTGTGTGTGTCCTCTTATGTGGGATAAGGTGTGACTTCCGAGAGAAGGCTTTGCCACATTCCCTGCATTCAAAGGGTTTCTCTCCTGTATGGATTCTCTGGTGATTAATGAGACTTGACTTCTCCCTGAAGGCTTTTCTGCATTCACTGCACTCATAAGGTTTTTCTCCTGTATGAGTTCTCTGATGTCTAATTAATTCTGATTTCTCAAAGAATGCTCTTGTACAAAGACTGCACTTGTAGGGTTTCTCTCCTGTGTGGATTCTCTGATGAGTATTTAGCTGTGACTTCTGGGAGAAGGCCTTTTCACAGTCCCTACATTCATATGGCTTCTCTCCTGTGTGAGTTCTCTGATGAGTTGCAAGACTGGACTTCTCACCAAAGGCTTTACCACATTCTGTGCACTCATAGGGTTTCTCTCCTGTGTGTGTCCTCTGATGTGAAATGAGATGAGACTTCTGACAGAAGGCTTTCCCACAGTCACTGCACACATACGGCTTTTCTCCTGTATGAATTCTCTGATGATTAGTGAGGCTTAACTTTTCACTGAAGGCTTTTCCACATTCACTGCACTCATAGGGTTTTTCTCCAGTATGAGTCCTCTGGTGTCTAACAAGCTGGGATTTCCTGCTGAAGGCTTTCCCACATTTACTGCAGGCAAAAGGTTTCTCTCCTGTGTGTGTCATCTGGTGTGATATGAGGTGTGACTTCTGGGAGAAGGCCTTCCCACACTGAATGCATCCATGCGGCTTCTCTCCTGTATGGGTTCTCTGATGATTAATGAGGCTTGACCTCTCTCTAAAGGCTTTCCTACATTCACTGCACTCATAGGGTTTCTCTCCAGTGTGAACAGTCTGATGTCTGATGAGTTCTGATTTCTCAAAAAATGCTTTCCTACAATCAGCACACCCATAGGGTTTTGTTCCTGTGTGAGTCCTGTGATGGGTGACCAGCTGCGACTTCCTGCTGAAGGCTCTCCCACACTCCCGGCATCCAAAGGGCTTCTCTCCTGTATGAATCCTCTGGTGATTGATAAGATTTGACTTCTCACTGAAAGCCCTCCCACATTCGCTGCATCCGTAGGGCTTCTCTCCTGTGTGTGTCCTCCAATGAGATATGAGATGTGACTTCCGGGAGAAAGCTTTCCCGCATTTGCCACACTCATATGGCTTCTCTCCTGTATGTGTCCTCTGATGGGACGTAAGCTGTGACTTTTGGGAGAAAGCTTTCCCACACTGGCTACAATCATAAGGTTTTTCTCCAGTATGAATTCTGTGATGTGTAACAAACTGTGCCTTCTGGGGAAAGGTTTTGCCACATTTACCACAGCCATAGGCTATCTCCCTTATGTGTCTGCTCTGATGTTTAATGAGACTGGATTTTTTATTGAAGCGTCTCCTACATTCACTGCATTCATAGAGTTTCTCTCCTAACCGAGTTCTGTGGAAAATGACAATCTGTGACTTTTTATAGCTATTGTTACCACATTTATCACATTCATAGTATTTCAACCAAGAATCAGTTTCCTCAGGTTCAGTATTGAGAAACAATTTATTAAATACATTCAAGTCATCTGATTCCATTCTTCCATAATCTGCTCTTGGAATAAGCAAATCTAAATGATGTCTTAAAATCAATCCATCTAAGTCACCTTCATCATTTGATTTACTTAAAGGAACAACGTTCATACTTGGATTGAAATTTTTTCCAAATGCATCCCATTCATGACCTTTTTTCACATTTTTAAGCTTGTCTTGGTTATCCTGGTGCCACTTCATGTGACCATCTACTTGACAGACTTCTACAAAGGAAACAAAACACCCATTTGGTTATGCTTAACTAAATGAAATGCTATGCTGAGGCACTAACTGCCTTTTTTTTGGGGGGGGGGTGCTGGGGATGCATTGTGCATGCCAGGCAAGCACTCTACCAACTGAGCTATATCTCCAGCCCAACTAACTGTGTTTTTAAGGTTTAGCCTCTGAGTATAAAATAACTCCCAAAGTAGAATGCTTACTCCCTAGGTACTGAAAAATATAGGAAGCAGTGAAAATAGAACAAACCTACAGTCACCTTTGGCTCTTGCCAGACATGAGTTTATCAAAGAAAAATGTGAATGCATGAAGATCAAGGAGTGGTGGTGCACGCCTGCAATCCCAGTAACTCGGGGATGCAGGAAAAAAACAAATTTGGGGCCAACCTTAGCAATTTAGCAAGGCCCTAAACAGCTTAATGAGACCCCAACTCAAAATAAAAATAAAAGGGGCTATAGGTGTGGTTCAGTGGTTAAGCATCCCTTGGTTTAATCTCTAGTATCCCACCACCACCAAAAAAAAAACATGCAGGAAGAGCAATCAGAAACAAAGACAGGAGGCTGGAAGAAGCACTGATCCAGTGTTCTCAGGAACCACCTCACTCGGTGCCCACTGAAAGCACACCATGGGACTGCCAAGACAGTAGAACAGTTAGCCAGTGACAAAGAACAGATTATACAAAACAAAACTGAGCTGGGGCTGGAGTTATGGCTCAGTGGTAGAGCGCTTGCCTTGCACACATGAGGCACTGGGTTCAATCCTCAGCACCACATAAAATAAATAAGTAAAACAAAGGTATTTTAAAAAAAACACAACTGAGCTAAAACTGTGGTAAGTAATATGAAGCACATGAATGAATTGAAGTAACTGCCTACAGCCATTTCAAGCTTGAAGATGAAAAATATTTTGTATATTTTCCCCCATTCTCAGATGTTCTGGAAGTTGGATTTAAACTTGCCACACACATCTCACACATTACTACCAACAGACCCTCGCTTGCACCACACTTCAACCACATCCTCTTTCATGCAAATCCTCAGGCACACAGCTTTGAAATCCACAAAGCAGCTCACTCACATCATCCCAAGACCTGAGTTACCATTCTCAGCATGTTCTGAGTTGGATAGTAATTTTATATAGCTCTATTTCCATCATCCTCATGGTGTAACCACTTAACACTAATTGCTGCAAGTGCTCTTCAAAAGGCCTGTTTTTTAATAAAAGCTTTTTTGTGTGAGGTCAATTTGGGTGTAAAATACAATCAGTAATGTGAAAACTTTAATTTTTTTGGTACTAGGGATTGAATCCAGAGGCATTTTACCATGGAGCCATATCCGCAGACCTTTTTTTATTTCTTTATTTTGAGAAAGAGCCTTGCTGACTTGTGGGGGCTGGCCTCAAAATTCTGATCTCCTGCCTCAGCCTCGAGTCACTGAGATTACAGGTATGCACCACCAGCAGGTTTTACCACCTTCTAATCACACTTTTATCTAATTACATCTTCCAATCTGTGGTCAGACTGAACTTTCAAAAATATAAATCAAATAATTAAACTTTTATTTAAAATTATAAATCAATCCTAATTCTTGTGGGGGGGGCGGTTCCTGGGGAACTAACTCAGAACCTTGCATATACCAGGCAAGCACCCTACCACTAAGCCACATTCCCAGCACTCCTACCTCCTTTTGTGTGTGTGTGTGTGGTGCTGGGGATTGAACCCAGGGCCTTGTGCATGTAAGGCAAGCACCCTACCACTAAGCCACATCCCCAGCACTCCTAGCTCCTTTTCAATGACTGTGAGTGGGCAGGGTTGCGGAGGGTGACTCAGAGGCAGAGCTCTTGCCTAGTATGCTTGAGGCCCTGGGTTCCAAACCCAGCACTGTAAGGAGAAAGAAAACAATCAGTGAAGAAAAAACTCTTTAAAGATTCACTGCCTCCAAGTGGAGGCAGGACTGGCCCCTGCCCTCTCCCAGTCACTTTGGAGCTCCCAACACACTGACCTCCAGCCACACAGGCTTCCATTCTGTTTCTTAACGTCACTAGGCCCCTTCCTGACTTAGAACATTCCTATTTGTCATTCCTTTGGGGACACTTTCTCCTGGTTCTTCACACAGCTTGCTCATCTCATGGTCCTCATGTGCAGACCCAGCTTCTCCACATTTATCATTCTGTGCTGGACTGCATAATTGTATTACCTCAAAAATCATATGCTGAAGCCCCCACTGTGTCTGCATTTGGAAAAGAGGCTGTGAGAATGGAATTCTGAAGTGACAGGATCAGTGTCTATAAGAGACACCAGAGAACACTGTCCCCCACCACCAGCATGCACTGAAGAAAGGTCACACACAGCAGGAAAGCAGCTGTCTGCAAGTCAGGAAGACAGCCCTCACCAGAGATCTGGCACCTTGACTTGGATTTCCTCCAAGTAAGAAATCAACTTCTTCCTTCACTTTTTTTTTTTT